TAATCGTGACTAGTCGACTAATCGTGGCAGCCCTATTCCTAACCAATGAACAGACAACATTTTTCAAAAGTGTATCCACTCCAAGAAAGGAGGCGAGATGCTGAAACAAACTGATACATACTCGGCCCTGGATCATTAAGGGCAACTGTGCTGCAGTACGACACGAGACAACCATACCTAAGTACACCCAGTACTTTGAAAAGCTTAGAAATGCTCCTGTTGTTATTTTTCTACATGTCCTTTGGCATCAGTGTCTTGACCCACTGACACCAGCAATAATAGGTTTAGGGGAAAAATTGTGGTTTTAGGTAAAGTAACCTGACAAACACCAGGGTAAAAAGTGAAGCCAGTGCAAAATCAACAAAACAGGGGGGGATTTTAAAAAGAAGTTAGTTAGTCAGTAAAAAAGAAATAATAAAGTGTGCTAACACAGGTAGCTATAGTTACTAGCTATCTGTAGGTCTCAATTCTTTAATTATCTTTAATTATTGTTTTTTATGTAAATGGTTTACAGGCACCATGATACTGAAAAATGCAGCCGTACACTCTGTCTTACATCCACTTGTTGGAATCACTGTACTGATCTCATTTATGAGATGACCATGCTGTTTGTGCTTCTGGAGGTGTGGGACCTGATCGACCAACCAGAGGGCAGCAGGTCGAACATGTGGTGGGTGGGGTGCAAGGAGTCACCTGTGATTGCTTCCAGGTAAGCAGAGGGCAGCCAATGATTTTTGGGGCAGTTCTCAGTAGTGTGTACCAAACAGGAAGGCAGCAGGAGCGCACGCTCTTCACTGAGGAGCGGCAGCTTCTAGGTTATTCTTTCTCAAGACACGGAGGAAGTGCAGCCAGTGCAGGTCCGGGGGGGACAGAGATATTGGTTGGGTGGCTTGGATGTATAGGGCATCTATAGTCATAGATGTATAGGGCACACAGTAGGGGCTGAGAGCGTAGTCCTGTGAGAAAATCTTTGATCGAGGAGCAGGTGGCAGGGGGGATGTGGAGGTGGTCTAATTTGGATTTAGGATGTCTGGGATTATAGTGCTGAATTCTGAGCTGTAGTCCATGAAGAGCATCCTTATATAGCTCTTCCTGTTTTCAAGATGGCTCAGCGCTCTAGAGATGGGTCAAGGGATGAGGGTAGACAGTTCCTGATGTGCAGCGACACTATCTGCTCGAAGCACTTCATGGCTACAGACGTTAGGGCTATCGGTCTGCAGTCATTGAGCCTGTGTATAGCAGACAGTGGAGGCCTTCAGAGAGTGGCATGAGTCAGGGAGAGGTTGAAGAGCCTGGTGAGGATCCCCCCAGTTGGTCAGCACATTTGTAGTTGGTGAGGGCTTGGATGCCTCTCCACACCTGGTGCAGGTTGTTATCAGTTAGGAAGCCCTCTATCCTCCTCCTGTAAACCTCCTTGGCCTGTTTGATGCCCCTCCTCATGTTGACTGTAGCCGTGCTGTACAGGTAACTGTCTCCTCAGCCTGAATTACAAGTTCAACACAATGGACTCGAGTGAAGTGGATGCAGGAGGGTGACGAGATAGCCTAAAACATAGTTAAAAATGAGACAAGGAAGCAAAACTAAATGCAAAACAGAGGAGACATCTAGCTGTACAAAATAAAATGGGCAGTAAACGTTGTGGAACAGAGAAAAGACACTGGAAAATCTAGACTAACCAAAACAGAAAGGATTACTTAATGATATAAACACTCCATGTAAATATTTATTTAAAAATATTAATTAAAAACACTCAATACAAATGCAGTTAAATCAGCACAACATCATCTCTGATTTGTTAAATCAGCTATATGCTTTAGCAACTTTCCTTTTTGCTAAAGCATATAGTTAGGGCTGGACCAGGTGACCCTGAATCCTCCCTTAGTTATGCTGCAATAGACGTAGGCTGCCGGGGATTCCCATGATGCATTGAGTTTTTCCTTTCCAGTCACCTTTCTCGCTCACTATGTGTTAACAGACCTCTCTGTATTGAATCATATCTGTTATTAATCTCTGTCTCTCTTCCACAGCATGTCTTTTATCCTGTCTTCCTTCTCTCACCCCAACCAATCACAGCAGATGGCCCCGCCCCTCCCTGAGCCTGGTTCTGCTGGAGGTTTCTTCCTGTTAAAAGGGAGTTTTTCCTTCCCACTGTCGCCAAAGTGCTGCTCATAGGGGGTCATATGATTGTTGGGTTTTTCTCTGTATCTATGAAGCGCCTTGAGGCGACTTTTGTTGTGATTTGGCACTATATAAATAAAATTGAATTGAATTGAATTGAATTTATTTTCAAATACAAAGAAATACAAAAACATACATATCAGCTGGGCACTTTTCTGCTGAATAATAAACAAGCATATTTCCATTACTTTAGCTTGTTATTTAAACATTTTTTAAATATGATAAAATTTAAATTTTATATATTTGTTTTATTTGAAACTTTAATCTTCATCTTCACTGACCACAGTAAGCACACAGGTTGGGGGAGGGGCATTTATAGATGGGTGTTGATAGATTTTAAATTTGTAAAATGTTAAATGCAATTACCCATGACCATGCCAGATAGCTAGTTAGCTAGCACATTTACTATTAGCTAAAGTGGTTTTTGCTGCTACTGAAGCGCAGAGCACATGAATTTGGGACTTCTGAGGGTGCAGTTGAGCGCTTGTATTCACTGATCTGAGAGGTTGTAACCACAGAGTTATAGTTGTAAGCAGTTAAAAAATTATATGAATAAATGAGTAAAAACTGAATTGCAAACATTAATCTACACATTTATGTATATTTTCTCTGTAACTATACATTTAAAACGCAAGTGAAAATACAAGTTTTACATTTTTTTTACACATTATCTCTTTTTTTTTGAAAGCTCTCGCATTTTGCAACGTATTTACTTCCATAAATCGGCCCTAAAGGAAAAGTTGATAGTTGGGAAGTATATTTTTTGACCACTAGATGTCTGATGTCAGAATTATGTCGGTTTTCTGCGGCAGCGAATGAGAAGAAGAAAATACGGAAGTACGGCTCCCAAACATATTCCCGTTGGAAGAGTAAAATACTGCAGATTGCCGTATTTGCTTTGAAACGAAGCATATCTTGGACTAAATATTCAATCTCAATAAGACGATGGGGACTAGAGACGATGAATACGATTATTTATTCAAAGGTAAAAATGTGAATTTCTCGTTAGTGTCGTAGCTTTTAGCCGATAAGCTAAACAGGCCAGCTGGTCAGCTGTCAGGCTAACTAAGCCAGCGTCAACCTTTGTGCTGTGGTTGATTTTCACCGAGCTTTCAGGAAATTGTAGGGAAATTGATATGAGGGTGTATACCTCAAAACGGCCTTCACTTGAGGGTTGGCGTTATAGTGCTATTTTCTTTACGTACGGTGTATTGAAGTGATGGGGCGTCTGAAAAGAAAAGAACATTAGCTGTTAGCTACTGTTAGCTTGTTGATGGTAGGCGCGGACACGCCTAGCGTTAACCGTTATCACGTTATCTTAGGTGCAGCCTGACAAGCTACAGAAACTTGTGTGAGGATTGGAAAGAATGCGTTAAGAGCTGCTTCATGAACACGTGACCACAATTTTAAAAGTTCTTTTCGCCATTATGTTATTTTGAAAGTATTCTTATTACTGTGAATGTGTAAAATTTGCTTAAAAAGTCAGGAAGATTGTGTTTGGTTTACTATTTTTGTGTCATAACAATGCTTCTTGGTAATAAGTCTTGTTCTGTTGGAATGCCTTTCTATTACTCCTTAAATGGTATCGCATGTTTGGGTTGCACCCATGAAGAACTATGCCAATGTCAAACAACTATCAACTCTTGTTTTGAGCTTCTGGTACGCCAGGTATGGACAATCTGATGTCTGATTAGCAGAGCATGAACCTGATCGGTCAACATGTTTGACTGATCTGGATGAGATCCATGTCATAGGGCGACTTCAAGTTGGTGTTTTGCAAGACTAAGTTTCAGCATTATTTTTGAGTGAGTCCTAGTGCCATCTCCAAACTGAAGGCCAGGTCCCATATGAGGGTGGATATCAGACAGGCTGTGAAGTCGGTGTCCCAACAAGACAACATCACAAACACACTGTCAGTGCAGTACTCTTCTACAGATTTGCAATCAAAGTTTGGAGGACAATATTTCTTATGGTTTTGTACCCAGACAACCTGGAACAGACTGCACAAAGTGTGTTAGGAGGCCTGCCATGACTGCCCTCACTGTTAGTTTCATTTAGTGTTGATAATGGGTGCAAGTGAACCCTGAATGTGTATAGGAATATTACGTTCAGCAATGAGTCCAGATTGTGCTTACTGCAGTTGGCTCATAGTGTCAAGTGTCAGAGTATGGAGAGGATGCGGAGAACCCTGTGCTGATTTATGCACCGATACGGTGAAAGCTTTTGGTGGAGGCAGTGTGACGGTGAAGAGCAGCATCTCCCTCAGTGAAAAAACAAAGCTTCTCATCACTGGTAATCTCAGTGGAGCTAGATATCAAGATGAGTTTCTGTAACCAGTGGCAATCCATATCTCCACAGTCTGGGAACAATCTCTGTCCTCCAAGTCGCTTAACCCACACAGAGTGGAGTTTATCAGAGAGTAAATCCAGAATATAGGTGTGGAGAGCATGCCAGCAGTCCTGATGTCAACGCAGCTGAATGCTTGTGGCATCAGCATGGAGGGTGCTAGTCCTGCCAGAGTAACTAACACAACCACACTGGCTGCCTTGTAATAAATAATGGTTGAAGAATAGGATGCAATCCCACAGCAGTGTGTGACCAAGCATGAGGAGAAGATGAGGCTGTCGTGGCTGTTTGGTTCTTCCACATGCTACTGAAGTCTCTGTTAAATGAATAAAGTGTGGTGTGTCTTGTTTCTTCACACTTTCAATCCAATAAATGAATAACGAGTCAGCAGCAGAATATGTCTGACGTTGGCATTGGAAGTTTTGGCAAGTTGTTATTGGTGTAACCCACATGCTCACCTTTGTTACTTAACCCACAACTCTATTTTTCTTTCACCATCAGGCAGCATTAAAGGGGAAATAAACCAGTTCTTTAATGGTTTAAGATTTATTGCCAGGCAACATTCTTCCAACAAAGAAATAATGAACCGAACAGTAATTTCATTACTTTCTGTGCTAAGTTATATATTTGTACCCACACTAGTTTCTGTGATAGGCCAACAGCACAGTTCTTTTTATTTAATTTTTTAAAGATTTAGTGGCTTTTTTGAACAACCAACAACCTCTGAGAT